TATTGACAGTTGCATTATCGTCAGTGCTTCTTAGCTTAATTTTGTACTGTATGGTATTTTCAATGTTGTAATGTCTTGTAAGTTGTAAGTTGTAACTGTTGTTTTGTAATTGTTTCAACCTTCAGGGTCGATTTGCCCTTGTGTGTGCAGTGCAGTGCAGACTGCAGTTATGCTTCAGGCTTCACCAGAATCACCGCTTCAACCTTCATTTGCGGCCTGCAGTGAGGTATGTTTGCGGCCTTCACTTGTGTGTAAAGAGTTTGATTGATATGTATGTTGCAACTTGCAAATTGTTTGAGTATCTTAGTGATAATTATCCAAATACAAGAACTCGGTCCGAAGTTGATGGTGTATACAAAACCATGACAGCATTTGCATTTGTATTTATCTTGCATTTAATGCGTAGAATTTTGGCAATTACGGATGTACTTTGTCAGGCCCTTCAGAAGAAAACTCAAGACATCTTAACTGTTATGAGATTTGTCCATACTACAAAAAGTATCCTTCAAGTATTGAGAGAAGATGGTTGGGAAGAATTNGATATACATATACCGGACTTTGATGGTTCTTACATGGTTAGTCGTTCTTGTGGTCATGAGTATCCTACAGTTGAACATCATTACCACTTTGATATTTTCAATATAGCCATAAATTGTCAGGTGATGGAGTTAGATACAAGAATTAATGAGACATCATTAGAACTCCTTTCTCTTAGTACGGATTTGAATCCCACAAATTCTTTTGAATCATTTAACATGGATAATATCTGCAAGCTTGCGCAGAAGTTTTATCCTGAAGATTTTTCGCAACAAGATATTTATTGTTTGAAAATTGAGTTGTAACATTATAAGAATGATGTGATTACCGAACCTCGATTTCAAGTGCCTACACTTTCTGATTTATGTCGGGAATTGGTTGCAAGTAGAAGGTCGGAGAGTTACGTCATTTTGACTAAATTGATTCGTTTAGTACTGACACTACCGGTTTCAATAGCGACAGTGGAGCCAGCATTTTCAGCAATGAAACATGTGAAGACGGAAATTTGTAACAGAATGGATGATGATTTTTTTGCTGATTGTTTAACACTAAACATTGAACGAGAATTTAGTATTAATTTAGATTTTGATTCTATTATAGATGAATGTTATGCTATAAAATATCGTCGGGTATAATTGTAATATGTAACGTTATATTACAATTTTTTTAGTTATATATAAATTTTATTTGTACATTCAATTTTAAAAAATTTTGCCCCCCGTGCGACACATTCCTGGCTCCACCCCTGGTCAGGTGATCTCATTATTTCCTATAAGCATAGTGGTTTTGAGATATTATTGATAGTAGACATCTTAACTGAACCATTATTTATATCTTTCGATGTTATATTAACGTGTTGTACTGGAAACGTCCCTCCTTAACATTACTATGTTTTGAATTGGACCTTAGACAGCATAAAATAGCAATTTTTTTTTTTTTGTCTTCAAACAAGAATTTTGACTTTGTTTGCTTGGAGACCTTCACTATCCGTATGCCCACATTTCATTAATGCGACAGATGACCATTATCATTGATTTGTAAACAAATATATTGAAATTCCCTGAACATGTGGTTAGTGACTTAGTTGTTACTAAGATAGGAACAGAATGTTAGTGACCTTCTTTTTATACACGAATAAAACATCTAGAAAATGCTACAGCTGACAAAGGGAAAATGAACTCTGTAGCAACAAGTTGGCACTTTCCATACTTTATAACATCTATTCATCACTTGAAACTTGAGAGAGTTAATATAGATGTTCCATTTACTTGTATACTTAACTGGTGCCTACGCTTGTGTGACAGCTGTTTGTAGCGGCTTGCTCACCTGCCCTTCTAATTCTAGTTATGTGGCTTGGTTATTGCCGTGATTTTGAGTATCAAACCATCAGTGTTGAGCTTGTTTAGTTGAATCCCTCGTGGTATATAAATTTCCTCTGCTTTCTGGAATTTTATTATGAAAATAGATACTGAATACCGAAAGGAACTGGCTGTTTCAGTTTGGAGAAGTAATTGCAACAACAGAGCATGACTAGGCGATAGTTATTTCAGAGATAGATTATTCCTGAAGAATTTCAAAATTAACTGCACCATTTTTGCTAGCGAGGAATGAATCCATACATTCTTTTTTTCTTTGTTGCATGCGTTTGAATTTGCAGTGTTGAAAGCCTTATTGTACTTTATTGCAATTTAAATCCGGGTGGATGGGCTTTTGTTTGAGCCCCATTTTTTCAAAAATTCATTTTTTCAAAACATTTTCAACCACACATTCTTCAATAAAGTAAATTTATACGTAAATTGAAAACTTTTCCTTCTTGTTTAAACCCCACGTTCTTCCAAAATCACTATTCTAAAATGTATTTTTTCCCCAAAATGGGGCTCAAACAAGGGCTTAATATTATGAACCAATCTTGTATCCGGTAGAAGCCTGAAAAAAAATCCTAATTAGGTCCAGAATAGAACTTTAATCTGTAAGCCATAATCTATAAATGATGTCTGCCCTATATACATTCAGTTAGTATATTAGAGAACCTCTAGATTATGATTGCTATATTTGGATGTTCAATTTACTTTGGGACTTCAAGACTTCGGTTGGATTCTTGTTTAGATGACATTTCTTACTAAAAAAAATTAGCTCTTCTGGAATTCATCTTGGGATTCAATGAAGGTTGTCATCTTACTTTCTTACGACCCTGACGTGTCTTTTGTGAGTTTAGAACATACCTTCCTTTCCAGAAGCAACAACGAGGGGATCTTTACCAGCTGGTTGATGTTCAGAGGCTGAATTCGACCAGTTGAAGACATTGAGGAGTCGACATAACTGTGGAAGGAAAGATCGATGTTTAGAACATCTTTCCAGTGTCATTAAAATTGATCCACCACAATTATCCCTCTTCCTAATTTAGGTTAGTTATGATATTAGAATTGAGATTCTATTTTGTGGGCACAAAGGGAGAATAAATGCAATAAATGCTCCTTAAATGCATGTATGCATGTTCCTTGTTCAATGTTTTTGATAAAGAAAAACGAAGTTTCACAATAAGATCTTTCTTTATATAAAATTTCTTATACTGTCTCTGTACTCAGTTTGCTGCACACTTTCTGATCCACCACAATTATCCTTCTTGCTAATTTAGGTTAGTTATGATGTTAGAATTGAGATTTGTTTTTTGGTAGGCACAAAAGGAGAATAAATGCAATAAATGATCCTTAAATGCATTATGCATATATGCTTGTTCCTTGTTCAATACTTTTGATAAAGAAAAACAAAGTTTTGTCAGAAGATATTTTCTTATACTCTCTGTACTCAGTTTGCTGCAAACTTTCTGATCTTATAGGTTAATTCATTTGTGGTAAAAGTCTTGGAGCTCCGACCTTTTTGCGATGTTACAACTTGGTTCTCACCTTAATTTTTTTTTTGTGGCAAGAACCATTCCCAATCCTTTCTGTTGGTAGCAAGTTGGCCTCCCGCGCGGTTTTCACCACCCACTTTGCCACCCCCCCTTCTGTGTCCTCTCTTTCTGTTGCCTCTTATAGGCAGTTTAGGGTAGACGTAGAAATTGTTTTTAACGGTTATATGGAAGAAAACCATACAATCGAGACACATTTCTACAACTTGAAAGGTTGACAATTTAAAAAATAATAATAAATAAATTGATGACCAACTTGTTATATCATGAAAAGGTTGGGGGACCTCCATAGCTGTTTTTTCATTTAGCCCATGACTGGTATATATTTTTTAAAACTCATTTTTAATTATATTCTCTCAATAAAATAATTTTGTACATGGGCTCATAAATTTTTCTTACTTTTTAACTACACGATTTTTTTTAAAAAAATCAATTTTTAAAAAAATTATTCTCAAAAATTCTAAATCAAGCAGTTCCTTAGTAAATGCTCTACGTGCATAAAGACAAAGGGGCTTGATCTGATGACACTTCTGGTTGATGCTTATTTCTCCATTGCAGTTTCAATGTTTTTCAGTTGTCATTGAATTTTAAAAAAATTTCAAATGCCTTATATGCTTCCAACGTTGCTATTTAGCCGTTACTAAACTTTTAACATTATTTTTCTTTTGTTAGTGCGAATTGTTTGAAAAATAAACGATTCTGTTGACCATGTCATCAAAACCCTTAATTTTAAAATGGGTGGAAATGGCCTTTTGATCTCAACTATTTGAAAAACGAAATCTTTGTCAGTAAACAAGAAATGTCTATGGAAGCACATGGGTTTTTAATCTGAAAGCATTTGAAAACTGAGCAATCTAAGATTCAAAAAGAAAAATAAAATAGTACCTTCAAGCAGACAGCAAACGTAAAGGAAACTGAACACCACTTTCCTAGCCACTCTGTCTGAATCACAGGCACGCGTGAGTGAGTTAAAAAAAAAAAAAAATCATTTATAAAATACTTACTCACACAGGCACACATGCACACGCAATGTACACTACTGTACAATATAATCAATCGACGAAACTTTAATGTTCACAAGTCTTATTCAAGGCGATCTAATTTAGCCCTGTTTGATATTGATTAAAATTAGATTTTTAGTAGATTTTGATAAAAGTTTACGAGATGTGTGGTTGAAATGTTATGGATCCCATAAAATATGTGCATAAAATTAGTTGTTGATTTTGATTTAGATTAAAATCTGAACTCTAATTTTTACCAACGTACCAAATGTCTCACATATGATATATAAATGTGTGTGTAAGTAAGCTCTTCAAATTTCTATAGTTATCATCTCTCTCTCTCTCTCTCTCTCTCTCTCTCAATGTCTTAAAAAACTGCATGAATTTGCATTTTATAATCTGCAGTATCATTTAAATGCTATCAGAACATTAAAATTTCAGTAGTGAATCAAAACAAGGAGAAAAATTTTAAATTCACAAGGTTTTCTCCTTTTTAATTTGCACCATAAAACTGTGTTTTTCTGTGTGTACTTAATCCTTAAAAGAGAATGGATATGTGGGAAAGACAGAAGCATCAGCCACGGCGTAAAAAGCAGACGTTTGCTTCGTCTCTTCTCGACGCCATTTATCATTCCATCGATGATTCTGTAGGCCTAAAGGAACAAGAAGTGGGAGATTTTGTGATTCATGAAAGAAACAATGTTGCAGAAGTCGAAGAACGAATCGAGAGCATTAGACGAGCAATCATGATAGAAAAATGGATTGAAAACTACAGAAGCATCACTCCAAGGCACTTTGCTTCAAATTCAGGCTCATCAACAGACTCGAGCATGTTTTCACCCTCTGAAACCGAGTCATCGTCACTTTTTACAGGGCAGAAACTGAATCAACGTCGGGATCTCATTCCTGAAAGGCTGTGCAAAATTGCACCATTGGAGACGGATCGGAAAGGAGGATTCATTAGAACAAAATCCAAGATTTTTCGAGAGTCGAAGAAGGTGAAAGAGCCCTATTCACCAGGTGCTAAAATTGCCAACTTCTTGAATTCCATTTTCAGCCCAAGAAACCTGAAGAAAAATCAGGGCATGGAGGAATCGAATTCAGTGAGAAAATCTAAATCAATGAAGGACACAACAACATGCTCATTGGCTTCAAGATCTTGCTTAAGCAGAACAATGTCTTTGAGAGCCAATAAATCAAAGAAGTCTGTCCAAATTTCCTCTGTCAGCAATTGTAATGCAGAAGATAGTGTCGGCAGCAGCTTCATCAAGAAAAACATCGATAGTTTTCGAGATTTCGAAGGGAAGAATCTTCGAAAACATGAAATTAGGGAGGTATATGAAGATGATAATGATGTGGATGATAAGAGTTGTGCAAGTTCTGATCTTTTTGAGCTTGAGAATATTGGCAGGGTTGGAATTAGATCATATGAAGAAGATTTGCCAGTGTATGGAACTACAAGTCTTAGAATGAACAAGGCCATTGCTAGTGGATTGGTCGTGTAGATTCAAAAAATTAAGCATTTTCTTGTATTGAATTCTTCTCTAGGTTCATGTTAGATGTATGGACCAGACGGAGTCTTGAAAAATGATTCATGCAATCGACGCTAATTAATTAATTGGGAACTAATCATATTTTATCCAAAGCTTTTTATTTTTATTTTTCGTGATGCAGAAATAAAGGATCCATTCGGAATAAAATGAGAATGGACTACAGTTATAGGCTTATAATAAATCAAGTTAGATTTCCACGAGTATAAGTTATTTCCATAGGTTAAACGTCATCAAGTATTATTTATTGGGTGCTTTCGTAGATACTCAAAACTTGTGAGACAAAGGGATGATTTAGTGGTTAAAGTGCCAATTATATGGAAGTCATTGCAACTTTGAATTTCGAANTATATATAGGGTAATTAGCACATAACATTTCCATCTTTCATCGTTATTGTGGAAAATGTCCATACCTTTTATATTTTGGCATTTTCACCATTTATTGCGCAAAAAGTCATTTTCATCTATTTTCTCAATTAAAAATTATGAAATAACGAATATACCCCTCTCTCTAAATAAAACAAAAAGAAAAAAAATTAATTGCAATCACAGTCCCAATTTTTTTTGAAAAGCGCAAATAAGTCACAAATAAATTATTGAAATAGTAATTAGTACATAATATCCCTATCTTTCACCATCATTGCGAAAAACGTTTATACTTTTCATTTTTTTTTTTTTTTGGCATTTTCATCCTTAATTACACATTTGATTGCGCAAACCATCATTTATATCTAATTTCATCCAATTTCTAAATAAAAGCTATAGAATTAATTGCAATCATAATCCCAAATTTTTTTAAATGTGCAAACAAGTCTCCAATAAATTATTTTTTAAAAAAAATTAAAAAGTATAAACGAGTCCTAATTAAATTTATTTAAAAATTAAAAAAATTAAAAAATGCAAATGAGTCTCAAATAAATTATTTAATAATTAAAAAAATATATTTTTTATTTAAATATTAGGGTATATTCATCATTTCACAACTTTTTATTGAAAAATTGGATGAAATGATAGTTTGCGCAATCAAATGTGTAATTAAGGGTGAAAATGCAAAAAAAAAAGGTATGGACATTTTTTGCAATAATGGTGAAAGATAGGGACATTATGTACTAATTACCCTTTTAATAATTGTTTATGACTTATTTGCGCTTTTTTAAAAAAAATTGAGACTGTGGTTGCAATTAGTTTTTTTTCATTTCCTTTTTGTTTTATTTAAATAGAGGAATATATTCATCATTTCATAATTTTTAATTGAGAAAATAGGTAAAAATGACATTTTGCACAATGAAATGTGAAAGTAAGGGTGAAAATGTCAAAAAACTAAAGATATGGATGTTTTCCACAATAACAATGAAAGGTGAGACGTTATATACTAATTACCCATATATATATATAACAAATGAAGTGGCCATAATTCTTCAACCCTACTATCTTCAAAAAGAATTTCGAGAACGACTTTCTGCCATGTTTAACACAAATTTTTTAGAACTCTTTTTTAATCGCACAATCCTCTAATAAAATAATTTTGCACATAAACTCATAATTTTCTATACTTTTAACCACTTTGGCTAGTTGAATTCGCAAGTGTTCACATGGATTACATTTTTTTTTGTCCAAAAATGCAGATGGGGCAGTTGTCCAGACTAGAGGTGTCAATCCGGGTGGTCCGGGTCGGGTCGGGTCGGCCCGCCAACATGTGAGCCCGGTAATGGCCCGTGTGAAAAAAAGCCCGCCCACTGCGGGTTCCGGGCCGGTTACGGATCGGCCCACAATTTTGGACTACAACCCAGACCCGCCCGCTGACCCATCCGGGTCGAGCCCATGCGGGTCACGGGTCG